TTTCAGAATAGCTTCTCAATAGCACTTAAGGGAAAGAAAACCTAGTGCAAAACAGGAAAAATATCTATCTTAAAATAAAATTTCGCCTGCGGCAAATCTGTTTTTTTTTTGTTCCAAAATAAATCTAGCACACCCCTCACTTAGATCCTGTATCCGCCATGGTTGCACTAAGATATTTAACTCATATATTTGTGGCGCACTTAGTAAGTAAAAACTGCCAAATGTTTTTTAAAAAATATTTTTGGTATAATATATTGTTAAGGTTTTAAAATATTTACATACAAACAAAATTATGATAATGCTACCAAAGCTGAACACTATAGAATGAGATATCCTTAATCTCAACTACTTAATCTGAGTAGTGAGAATCCAATGGACACACTTTTGATTTTCTCCTTAAACCGTTCTTTCATTTGGATATATTAGAGAAAAATCAAAACCCGGTTTTTAAAATTAGAGAGTCCCTCCCGTTTCTGTATATATAATCTTAAATGGCGCGCTAAATTTTAAATTTATCGGCTTCATATACACGACTCTGATTGGTTGAATTTTATACACTTTTAAGGATACAAGTACAAGATTATGTTAGTCTCGATATTAGGAAAAAAAGAGGATCAAGCATTATTTTAAATATCGACCATTCTAAAGTTTTCAGCTCAGAATTGGTTACTTTAAGTTACAAAAACTTCAAATTGAAGGACAAAAATTAATAAAATAAAAATTAGAAGATTGAAAATTGATGCATAGTTTTTATTAGATGTTCAACTTTTTGTCTGGTGGCAACTTTTGATATTTCAAATGTTGACTACTTCTAATTAAAGGCATATGATTGAAATATCATAGGTCTATGCCCACTGAGATATAAACAACCTTGAGTCATCAAATTTCTGTACAACCTAAAATTTGAAGTGTCTCAACGCCTCACAACTCACTCATCCTTTTTTTTCTACGCCTAGACATATACATTTTAAAAATGCTTTTTGTCTGTTTCTAGCATAAGTTTAAAAGTAGTAGTTTTTTTTGCGCAATTTTTTGCTTAATTAATTATTGCGTAAAAGTTTGCATTTCGCATTTTTTAGCCCCTACTGCAGGGTGTCTGATAAAATAGTAGCACTATGAATTGAAGGTTGTCTTTGAACTCTAAAAATAATTTGCAGCAATTATTTGTAAACCTAATTTTAGAAGTAACATTCTTTTATTAATAACAAAATAACCACTGTCTTAGAATTTCAAAAATGTGTTCTGCCTTTTTTTGTGATTTTGACAATTTTTGTTTTATTTAATAAAATTGAAATCTGAACAAAATTCTTAATTTCTTCAGTAATATTGACACTTGACAGCACAAAAAAGGGAGACCACATTTTGGAAATGTGAGGAGGGCAAGCAGAATTTTGTTTCAAGAATCATACAAGTAAACGTAGGTTGACGACTCTATGTCACAAATCTATATATAAATTTGGCTTGTCTGTCTGTTTGTTTGTATCCAATAAATGTCAAAACGGCTAAACCGATCGGGCCCAAATTTTTTGTGGGACATCACGTGATCACAGGGAAGGTTTTTGAATGAAAAAAATTTAAAAAATGTGTTTTAAAGGTTTTTAATTTTGTAAAAAAAATTAAATTCTTGAAAATCCGCGAATTTTTTTTTTAAAAATCCGCAAAATTTTTTTCTTCTTTGTTTTAAAATGTAAACAAAAAGAACATGTTAACAATTTAAATAGAAGATGGGCGCGAAGCGCCCTAAAAGCCTAGTAAATTAAAATTTCAAGACAACTTTAAAATTGTCTTGCTACTGTCATGTTTCGTGGGGACATCTTGTATATTAACAAAAACATTTTTTTAAACAATTGGCAATATATTTGTATTATTATTTTAGTATGGGCATCATATTGATGTCTGCTATGAGACATTGAGCCACAAAAATATGAGCTATTAATTATTATTATTTATGAGTTATTAAGTTCGACAGAAATAAGGAGATGAAAAACATGCAAACAAGAAGAAGCATCTGTGGAATTATCATCTTTACTATTGTAGTTTATCAATAATTTTGAGATGAAATACATGCAAAGAAAAGGTTTTGCAGCCTTGTAATATTATGATAAATACTTACCACAATACCAAATTATAATTATCCTCTATTTTAATATAGCAATAAGTGTCATATCTAGAGATGGACATTGTTTTTTTGAACGAACGAAATTGTTCGTGAAAA